CCCCCCAGCCACATCCAGCGCCCACAGCAGATCTGCCGTGGGCAGGGGGACGGGGCCTTGTACGAAACCCAAAGGGGCTGCTGCCAACTCACCTCACCCCCAGGACAGCAGCGAGGGCTCGCTACAGGGCAAAGCCCATCGCTGGCAGACCAGCCCCAAAGTTGCAGCGTGTCATTGCTCCATGCCTCCGCATTTAAAAAAAAAAGTCAAAACAAAAACCAACCAAACAAAAAAACCCCCTAACACAACCCAGATTCTCCCCACACCTTCAATTATGGCCAGCAGTATTTAAGTGGCAGCAACTTAAGCAACTGGGACCCTCCTTTTGAGGTCACATCACTCAGGCAGTGCAACTCCCTCCAGCCCTTTCTTGGGGCAGGGGCTCTGGCTACGGGGGGGCAGGCAGCAGTGCTGCCCTGCATCATCCATGGCAGGGGCAAAACGCCTCCTGAGGGGCTTCCCAGAGATCCCCAAAACCACACCACAAGAGCCACAGGTACCTACCAGCCACCACAGCAAAAATATCCTGCATTTTTAGTGGTTGCAACTTCCAGCTCACCCCCAGCACCCTCTCATTTATAGGAGTTTCATTCTTGCAAGTAGCATCTAATTAGATAATTAAGAAGAAAATTAGCTGCCCTCTCCCCACCCTCACCCCAAGCAGGCTGCCTTATACCCACATGGCACTGCTGGGGCGCTGGGAGGCTCCGTGCTGTGACACTGGAGGCCTCAGCAACATCTAAATTTTTCTGTTTTGCACTAACGTAAGTGCTGGCCTCTCCTCTCTATATTGAGTTTATTAATTGTTTAGTTTACTAATCCCTGAAGCAGCAGGGAGCTCGCAGCTTTGCTTTGGGGGTGCAGCAGAGCCAGGCGGGGAGGCAAGCAAGGTTCTTGCTGTGGCGTGTGCGGCGCTGCGCCGGCAGTCCCAGCTCGCCCCTTTCCAACCCCGTGCATAAACCTCAGGGTCAGCAGATGCCAGCACGCAGTCACGAGGGGTTTCTTTCCCCGACTTTTTCCCTTCCCTTCTCTGCCACAACATCATGTTATCGGAGTTTTGGAGGCTTTTGTTTTCCTCCACGGGTAAGAGGAGTCACGTACTGATGAGATTCTCAGTGGCCCCCAGGAACTGGAGCTGTGAGTAAAACATCAGCCGTCGGTAACGATGCTGCAGGAGTGTGCAAGCCAGCCGGAGAGGAAACGTGTACGCCTTTCTCACAGCCCACGAGAGACCGCTAGGTGCACGTACAGCAGCCTCGCATCTGTCGTACTACCAGTTCTTTCCTGCAGCAAGAAGCTTCGGGTCTTTAAGCAAAGTCCACCCTGGGTTTCTCTTGCAGTGTGTTTCAGAGGCGCCGGGCGAGCAGCAGAGATGCTGCAGGGACTGGTCCCCAGCCCGGGCTGCTCCCGGGGGTCTGGGCACGGGGTGCTAAAACTGACTTTCCTTATGGGTCAGCCTCCCCTTGCCCACGTCTGGCCTGGGACAGGCTCCTGCTGTCCTGTGCTTGCATGGACAACCAGGAGGGATGGGAGCTGCCTTCAGGCTCTACACCCTGATTTCTCCTTCAATCCAAAACCAATCCAGGTTTGTTTTCATGGCCTTTGATCCCAAATGCTCCTTCCAGCGCTGCCCATGTCGCAGCTGAGGAGAGGAGCAGGGGAAGCGCGTGGCTGCGCCAGGCAGCTCTGACGCCCCTGGGTGCTTTGATATCCCCGAGGACAGAAATTACAGGGTGGCACTTGGAAACGGCCCAGCGGGAGCCGCAACATAGCGCAAGCGAAAAACATAAAGACCAAAAAAAATTCCTGGTGTGGACTTGCCTTTGGTGGGCTTCCCTGCAGAAGAAGGATGGAGAAAGTCAGGTCTCTCCTTGGAGTGTCCCCCACCCAGCTCAGAGCTCCCCACGGCCCCGCTCTCACCCTGCTCTGCTCCCTGCAAAGCCAGTTCCCCTTAGTCAGGATTTGTCCCCGGCGCAGGGTCCTTCCCTACTCTTGCTTTTATGCAGCACTGCTCCCGATGCGTGCTGGGGCAACCGAAGCTGGAGCCGGATCCCCCTAAAACCATTGTGGATGTGAAAGCCGGCTCCTGGGTTGTTCCCAGGCTGCTGCAAGCTGCGAGGGGCAGACATGGACCGTACACCAGGCAAATGCTTCCCGTATGCCTTTATTTGCAAAGTTAGAGGATTTTTTTTACAGGCGCTGTGCGTTGGTGTTTCAGACCGGTTCGGATTTTTCTCTGTATTATCAATGACCGAGAGGGGAGGTGGGAGCAGGGAAAATCCCTCACAGCAACTGTTCCAGCCTCCAGAAAGGCATAAGACATCTGAGAGGAACAATCTGCTTCTTCTGAAGCCACGAAGCGAAGAATCTGGTTTATAAACAGGCTTAGAAAATAATATACATATATAAGAGCAGCTCAAAGCTAAAGTACAGCGATAACTGGTACATACCTATGCATATCTGTTCACAGCCTTTCTCCAAAGCTGGAAAAGGGATGGTTTAAAAACTAAAAACACAGTTGTTTTTTTTTAAAAAAAAGGATTCCATGCATTAAGTTTTAGTGTTTTGTGCAATTAAAATGGGATGAAAATAAATATAACTTAAAAAACCCCAACCTTTTCCATGACACTAATGGAACAGAGGCAAGTCTATAAGGCACTTCCACATGGGCTATTCTAGAAAGCCTGGCAAAGAGCTAAAACAGTGCAACCATTTACAATGGCATCAGATGAGCTAAAGACATCTGTCTGGTGAGATATGAACTGAGAAAAACCTTAGGATACTTCAGTCCTCGGGGAAGAGGCTGGGGTATGGCTACAGGAGGCTTAATGGCCAACTCCTCCTCTTTATTGCTGCCGGGAGAAGACCTCCCCCACCGAGGATGTTGGACTCACTGAACGATGGCAGAGGGGCTCTGGATGCGACGTGAGACGGTGGGTTTGGGGATGGAGCAGGTGAGAGGTTTGCGGCTGTCGAGATCATGCACCACCTCCAGCATCGCACACTCCTTCTGTCCTCAACGCGAGGGGCTCCCCGGCTTGCCCTGCAGCCTCCCCTCCCCGCCCGCCTCCCGATCGCTGACCTTTAGTGAGCCAGCCCCACGGTGAGCAAGCTGCTTAGTTCAAATGTTCCAGGAAGTTAAAAAATAGCCTCCGCCCTAAATAGGGAACCGGGTGTTTTCGCAGGAGCGGGAGCGCAGAGGCTGTACACGCAGCCTGAGAAGCCAGCGCCGAAAAGCAGCGGCAGAGTCAGCCAGCTTTGTGGAAAATAATGGGAAGGCACGGGGATGCCTGACCCCAATTCTGCTTCACCAAAGATGACCCGTCCACCTCGAGAGCTGCTTTGCTGTTGTAACCCTTCGCCCGCTGCTGATAAAAATTACAGCGATGCTCCAGGCGGGAGGGTTGCCCTGGGCCAGGCGCGGGCACTGGCAGCACCACCCCTACACACGTGCTTGGCTGCTGCCAAAAAAGACTGATCAACCTGGATGGCTGCTTTAGGTCTCATAGTAGTCCCTTATAAGCTGTTTTTCCCTCCCCTAGACCTGCCCAAAGTCTTTATTCCCCATGCAGGGCTGGAAAACCCAGCTAAGGAGGGCTGGAAGCAGCTCCTAGCAGGGAAGCGGGGTCTCTAGAGAGGAGCTCGAAGCGTTACCCACCACACCAGTGCACCCAGCATGGGGGAGGCAGGTGGGAAGCACCTGGCCATGGTAAATACCTGTGCCTGACCACGTGCCCCCAGCAGGAGGGAAACCCTCACCCTCCAGTGCCACCTGAAAATAACCGAACGACTTCCACGGGATGTCTTGAACACAAAGGAAAACCCAAATCCGCCCTTCTAGCATCTCTTAAGGACTCGGCCCAGCCCGGTCCCTAGGGTGAAACGTGCTGGAAAGACAACTAAAGGGCTCCCATCCCAGTATCCTTCGCCATCTTGCTCACGCACCCCGGCTGCCAGAGGGTCCTGGGCACGGCCACTGAGTGTTTTTGGGATGAAACTACCGATCCCAGTGCAGGGAGAGGCTCCGTCCTCCACCAGCCCTCTTAAAGGCCCTCTTAAAATCAGGCTGCACAAGAGACAAAAGCACGATAGGCAAAGCACACGCTTGCCTAAGCAATCCCCGCCGGGCTGCTCCCGGCCGGCACGGCTGCGTGCTCCCACTGACTCTGCAAAGCCAAGGTTTCAAGTTCAGCTTTTGTTCTGGTGGGTTAGCTCTCTATTTACATGGAGAGGGAAAAAAAAAAAAAAAAGACCAAGACAACCTAAAAAAAAACAACCCCACAACAAAAAACACCTTAAATAGGGAGAGTATAGCTTTCAAATGGGAAGGACGAGGGCTGGAAAGTGTCTTGTAGTGCAGTTCAGAAGAGTCAGTCGGGGGGGCAGGTTGGGGGTAGTGGCAGAGTTGGACGCGCAGCTTTAATGCAAGTCTTCGCTCTGGGACAACTCTGTCAGGATCTGAATGAGGTTGTCCAGCCCCCAGAGGTAGCCGTCCTCTCTGTTCCCTTCCACCCAGGGCACGTTGTGCTGGAGAACTTGTCCCTCCGGCAGCGGGGTGGTTTTCCCAAAGTCAATCATCCAGACTTTGGCCTGTTCCTTCTTGTCGTGAATGAAGAGGAGGGAGCTCCCGATCACCTGCAGAGAGGAGAGAACAGTTAGCGGTGCTCCTGTTGCTGGTTCTCAGCCAGCTTTGGGGCTTTCAGACACCTTATCTCAGGCTGTTATTTGCAAGAGATGCTGCTGAGATTTTTGCATGAGCAGAAGCAAGCTCTGTGTTTGCACCTGCAAAGCGGGTATTCGGACCAGCTGATTTACTCCTACAAATCCCAGCTCTTGGCAGGAGAGGATCAGAAAAGCACGGGCATGAAAGATAGAGATGTCATTTCAGAAACCAAGTCAAGGTCCCCGGGAAAGGAATGAGATGGATTGTCCCAGCCTTCAGATAGGGATTTTTTTTCAAGGCTGGTTCTTTGTGAAGGCTCGTGCTATTCACGCTTGCCAGCCCTGCAGACATCACCACAGGGATGCGTATGCTCCAAGTACAAGTTACTTGCAATGTGCTATCTCCTGTCTGAAACATCATTCAATTGCAACAACTCCCCCTAGAATATTCTCCTGGCTTTCACAGTGCTCTGGGGATGCAAAGTTACTGAGGTACACGTACATGAATTTCCCTTTCCATTAGTTCACTCGGCCGCATCTGCTTTGAAGGGGTCGTCCATAACCTGACCAGCCTTTGGGAAAATCCTGCAGCGAGTATTGGCCGGGGAAAGCCCCAGGAAAGCTGACAGGTGCATTTGGGAAGGTGAAACACATCGTCCCTGAACAGCAGAAGTCTCAAGGCCTCTCACAGCAGGACCAGACCCCAGGATGCTCTAGGGGCATCCAGCTGGTGTCAGCCCTCCAGAACAGCAGCACTGAATGTTACCAGGGACCCACGTCCGTATTATCACCGGGGTTTAGTTTGAGGTTTGTCTTCAGACAAGGGTTTTGAATGGGAAGCACGTACTGTTTGCAAAAGCTATTATGAATTTACATTTTTGAGGAGACTTCCTCCTCCAGCGGATTGGGAAAACATCCAAGGTCCAGAGATATGTATTATTTCCCAGAAGTGCTTATCTTTAGCTCTTCTCCTTCTAAGCTCTTACAGCCCTCTCTTGGCCAGGACAGAGCATTTTAACTTTAAGGAAAAGCCTTTTGCTGACATTCTTTCCTCGCCTGTCCTGGGTCACCAAATTCTCCTGCAGCTCCTCGGAGGAGCCCTGCCCAGCGAGGGCCCCGCAGAGCTTGGCAGACCTTCTGCTGCACTTCGTCTCAAAGTGGGACAGAAAGTCAAAGCTGCTGCTTTTTAATTTTTAAGGAGTGGAAACTCCTTTCAAAACCCCCTCAAAAGGCTGTTTTGTTTCTGTGTTTTCAAACGAAACCCTGGCACTTGGTTTCAGGGAGCATTTTGTTTCGCCGCGTTGAACTGTCCTGAAACACGCGGTTTCGAAATTTCCCCTGCAATGCCTTCCAGGCGCTGCGTCAGGAGGCACGGCCCCATCCCGCGCCTGGCTCCCAGCAGGACCCTCCACGTGCGGCCGGGGCCGAGGTGGCTTCACACGGCTCCGGCTGAAGGACAGGGGGGTCTTCGAGCTGTGGCTCCCGCTCCCTGTGAGTCGAGGGCTCCTATGAGGCTCTTTTGCCCATAGACAACACGTGCCAAGGACATGAATGGTTTTGTTTTTTTTTTCTTTTTAAGTAGATGCAATAGCAAATAATCTTTGCCAAGGCTAAACCAATAAAATG